CGCCAACACGGGATTTATTTTATATACAAATATAACAACATGCTATACTATTATGTTTGTTTCAATTCATAAACGTTTTGTTTATACTGTGCCATGTGTTTTAGTATTTCGCACTAATATTATGAGTTGCCAATTACTTTTGGGATGTCGTGCAATCTCAACATGTAACATACGTATATCACATATATTTTTCAATACATTCGTTCATTTTAGTCTGCCTTCATCCTCACATTTTCAGTAACACGAGCAACATATCCAAGAGTACATTGGATATAAAACAACGCTATTCTTTATCTCAACAAGATATAACCCATTGTAGGACAAATAATTTATTCATGCAAACACACCTGTTGTGTTTGCGGTATTGCAGCCGCTGAATCTGGGCATGGACGACAGTATATGGCAAGACATCGACGAAAAGCTACAGAATCAGAACGACCGTGAGGAAGTAATGCGCATGGTGTTCCGGAGACCTCGTCACGTCGCCAAGGTCGAAGTTGACAACATGCTGGACAACTTCCGACAGAAACGTGCGCTCGGTACGCCTATGAGACGTAGAGTACCTTTATATAAATTCACTCTGCCAAGACGATGCTGTTATGAAAAATTCTATAACGCGTTGAAGATTTTCGACATGTACACTGATTGCACTATGAATTGCGGAACTGTAACTTAAATGTGTACTAGTATATGTGCGATAGTGTACGATTGTAATGTTGACAGTGGTGAGTATGGTTTTAGCACCTGGTTTTAGTATACGTAGACCTACTTGTAAGTTTTGTAAGCTTGCGATCTCCGATCACTTTGCATGCAGGTTTCCACACGCGCGCGCGCCCTCGTGTGTGTTTGTTTGTGCGTGTGCGTGTGTGTGCGTGTGTGCGTGTGTGCGTGTGTGCGTGTGTGCGTGTGTGCATGTGTGTGTGTGCGTGTGTGTGTGTGTGTGTGTGTGTGTGTGTGTGCGTGTGTGTACGGTGCTGCTGCGGGTGTGGCGTGTGTGCTGTGTGTGTGTGTGTGTGTGTGTGTGTGTGTGTGTGTACACATTCGGTATTTAAATATATTGAAGGTTTGGGTAATCTGTATGGCGACCACCAGCTGAGAGAGCAGATGGAGAGGAGCACAGAACTGAAAGTGGCAGAAGAGAGATTGATGCCCCACCTAGAGGCATACACGTAAGCAATGTTTATCTTATAGAGCAATCGTTTACCACTAACTGCAAACCACCAGAAAATTCAGCGACGGTGCAAAGAATCACGGAAAGTGACTTCTTGACGGCAGCTTTAACATTCTCAAGTGTTAGAGATGAATGTTTCAAGTTGAATATTACAGATTCCTTCGAAGAACTCAGCTGAAATTAAATTAATTGGTCATACAATTGAGGAGCGTGCATATAGGTCGCAGTCATAGAGATAGTTGTAAAGAGTACGTCTCCTACAAACTCGTTCAAATTACAAGTACTGTTTACATATTAACAAGTATTAAAAGCACAAGCATAGAGCATACAAAATAATAATTTAAATCAGCCAAAATAAACAAAAAAGATTTCATTCCTTCCGGGGCCTACAGTTCTATTTGCATCATATTATATCACGCGTGTTTCTTTTTACAGGGAAGACATTGAGAACCAGAGCGACAAAAGGTAAGCAAAATGGAACTTTTGATTTAGGAGTGACATAATTATCATAGTTCCGATATGATTTTTGAATCATCTACGTTTATATGATATCTTACTTATATCTTAAGCTTTGTCTGCTCTAATTTATATTGATCGTAACTAAGAAGTTATTGTGACAACATATTAAGACGAATATGTAGAGTAGTAACAGAATCCTCGTATTTTCTGCCGTACATCTGTGTTGCAGTGTGGCTCTGGCTAACGCGTTGGCGGCAGTCATTCGTTGCTTAGGATTACGCAGTCAACCAGTGGAAAAAATATTGGACAAAGTTCCCCAGTTCTGTGGTAAAGATAAAGGTCGCTTCAAATTTGCGAAATCTAAGAAGGTACCGACATATATATCATGGATGGCATATCTAACTAATGCACAATATTACAGAATATGCCGTATTTCCTCTGCCAACAACAAATTGGAAATTGTTCATATGCAGTAAGATTCTATATATGAATTTGAAATACCTGGTGATGTCACATCAGCGCTCAGGAATTTCGATCTCATTACTGTTTGACAGCTATCCGTCAGAGGTCATCAGTTTCAACAAGGACAATATATGTCCACGGTGCTCTGCCACGTTTGCTCTAATGTATTGTGGGGCATAGGAGCTCAGGGGTGGAGGTGTGACTGTGAGTATTGGTGCTCATTACGTACTATAAACGATTGTTCTCTTCCACCGTGCACAAAAGGATTCGTCAAAATATCTACTACCTTTGCGTTTGAATTGCAATTACGATAACTTTATCCTGGGAAATTTTTAGCTACTCAATTCATGCCGTTTAAATACTTACACAATAAAAGTTCAATGTATTGCATTTTGACATTTATAAAGAATATACGCAATAAAGTTTAATAAATCACATTTTCAGTGTGTGCACTATAAATCTTTTTTTACAGCTTGCGATGTGTGTGCACACAAGCACTGTTTGGACAATCCCAGTGTAGAGTGTACACGAAAAAAACTTGGGAAAGTAAATCTATTAGACAAAATAATCATCAGAAAACCAAGTGCCAACAGCCCGGCAGCAAGTAAGTCATTTCTTGTTGCTGTCAGCCATAGACCCCTATCGGTACATATGTCAGTATTATCTATAACAATACCCATAAAAGTTACCTTTGTATTTTGTATAACTACGTTATAACAGCACACTAATGACTTGCCAGCAGTACTTCTCTTACAGGAAAACAAACAAGGATTAATCTGCAGTTAGCAAAAATACCAGTATTTCTTAGTTAATGTCTAGAGTATGTACTACAGTTATCAGCCTTTGAGTACCTTTAATGAATATTCTCGTCGACCTATGATATAAGGTCGGATTACAATATGTATTATTTTAACCTACATCATCGCACTACTCAAACCATCCTTATCATTTATAGTAGTGTTTCTAACAGTGCACTAGCATACTCTACTTAGTGAATTGTTGTTTTGCACTAGTTTCTTTATTTACAAATTTTTTTCTTTATTCACCCTTTTATTGCACTATAATAATAATGCTTAATTAAATAATTATATATATAAATATATATCTATATATATATGTACATATATATATATATATATCCTATATTGTCACGCGTTGGCACACATTCCAACACATATGTTCTAATTCCAGATAACAAAGCCAAAAATGTTGTCTACAAAGAAATTATACATTTTTTATTTATCCCGACTTGGCGCAATTTCTCTGTCACTTGTTTCATTTTATAAAAAATAAAATTATCAAACCTCTATGATTATACCGCAAATACCTGTTGTCCATTCGTCGCATTCTTCATTCAAAAATGCCAATTACGTCTAAATCTATCTGTTGCTATCATACACATACTAGCAGGGAACATTTCTTCTTTCCTCCTAATTTGCCTTCATTGACTGGCGCCTGGATCCATTACATTAACCCAACATCCGACCATTATATTGGTACGTTGCTAATATAGGTCTATATTAGCAACGTAACCATATTAGCACGTATATATAAATTGAACCGCTCCAGTTTAAATCGCATTGCGTGTGTGTGTGTGTGTGTGTGTGTGTGTGTGTGTGTGTGTGTGTGTGTGTGTGTGTGTGTGTGTGTGTGTGTGTGTGTGTGTGCATAAGCATGGTTTGAATTATGGTTTATTAATTTGGTTAATATGCACTAGTGCGTTCACCTGCATTAATTTTTCGCTCAGCCGTGTGACACAACCTACCCCACAGGGTGTCCGGGCACCCTTAAAGACAGTAAGTCTGGCATTTAGGTGATCTCAGGTATTCTCAGTCTAGCATTTACAGGTGCGGCGAGTACATGTATATATTCCAGTATATACTGCATACGCAAACTTTACTGATCAGTGCGAGCGCGGGCAAATCGCTGCCAACTTTATTACGCTTTATTAAACTTTATTAAAATTTATTATACTTTATTAAACTTTATTAACATATGTGCTGTGAGGTGACCGTTGTGCATTACCAAGAAGAGCGTGCAGGTGCTGTGACTCACCGGTCCGCGGGGTTATGGGACAAACTGGGAGTACCCGAGAGCACCTAAATGCCGGAAGTAACACTTCTTGGAATGTGTGGGTGCACTTTTTACCATAATTATTTTTATTAAACAATAGGTCACTTTCATCGTTTAATTATCGTTTTATTACGTTACAATAAATAATGGGCAATAGAACGAGTTCTTTATTTATTATAGCCACAGCTAGTTAGTTCGGCCTTGTAGTCAATCAGAGGGAGAATCTTGTAATGAGTGGTGTCTAGAATATTGTGAATTCAGCATGCCCACCACACCCTGGTATACCAAATTGTTCGGCCAGATTAAATGAGCACGTGGTTTTCTTGATGTCCATTAGCGCTCTAGATCTCCTATGTAATATGTGATTGGCTCTCGCTTTGCACACCTCTGGTAGCGGTTTGTATTAGTTTTGGCGCTTGCTTGCGTTGATCCCGATTTGCATGCGCATACCCTTGCATCTACAGCTTACCAACCCGGTGCGCAACAGACTCCGTCTGGTTATCCACGTACACAACATCCCCTGTCACCTACTGCAGTTTTAAAAGCGAAGCAGTGGTATGATGAGAAGGAGAGGGAGGGGCAGGAGCAGGCATCTCCGTTACCCACCCCCAGCTCGAATCAAGCTACGCCACAGTTGGAAGATAGTGAGAGTAGTGATAGTACGTATAAATATAGTCAAAATAGTTTTGTCTATAGCTTTATTGATTGTTTCATTTATCGTTTTTTGTTTTTTTTTGCATATATACAATTTTCAATAGACACAAGAGAGTCATGATGAGATAAATTTATACGAATCTGAAAGCCACTGCCACTGTATCTATACTTGCTGCTTTATACTTTCTTAGTTGTTAGAGAAATCCCTGACCATGACGGCTCGCTGACGCGTTCAATGTCTGCTGGTCATGGAGATACACGCACAGGGTAGGTGTCATAGTATCTTTCTATACGTGATGTCCTCCCCATATTCACCTGAATATATCTGCTTGCGCTTTGAATAGAAATCAGATTGCTTTGATGATTTATCACCTCACTTTTTCCTCTTTTATATTTTACACTACATAGCGGTCTGCGAATGACTCCTGGTGGTTACAACACCAGCGTAGGCAGATCTGAGAGTCTACGAACAAATCGTTCAGAGGGTGTAAGGATCCCACGGCGAAAGAAGAGTGATCCCAACTTGCATATGCCGCTAGAGGGCGACATTTCCCGGCTTTCAGGCAGTTCATCTAATTCGAGTTTGTCTGCGAGGTTTGTGTTCTCTTTCATAGTCTAACTGATATTTCTCCACCAAGAACATTGCTAATTATACATCTTTATCATGTCGTTTGTCGATTCTGTATTTGCAATTCCGGTTTATTTTAATTATATGTTTGCTACCATGGATCGTATCATTTCCATATGTTTGCAACCACGCATCTCGTCAATTTCATATTTGCTGCCACAGGTCTTGTCAAATCTATATTTTCCGCCATTTGGTATGTTATAGAAGTCTGGAGAGTCCCAGTGCTGTAGCAGACACGCTACACAGAAACTTCCCGGTCACCGACAGTGCTGCGACGACGGTGACACTGGCGCACAACATCGTCTATGAGAACATTGACCAGGACTCGGACATCGACGCCGAGAACGACGCACCCGACTGGAAGAAGCTGGTGCCGAAGGACGAGTATAAGAAGATGAAGCCGAAACAAGTGAAGCGTCAAGACGTCATCAATGGTACGTCGCATGCAGTCATTCCAGCGAAATCGTCACGCGTGTGTGAATCCTCAGTCGGGACGAACCTGCCCAATTATTGTCATTGTTATTGTTTTAACAGCTTAATCGCAGGAGCGAAACCAATTACTGTTGATGACACGTGCACACTATAGATACGCAGTTAATTTTGGAACAAAATTATGGGTTTGAGATAAAAGAAAATAAGCCTATTTTCAGAGCAGAACCGTGTTTATAATACACTAATTATATTCACAACTTCAGGAACAAGAGGTACGATCACAGTCTATACATATATAGCTACCGTGTTGTGTTTATCAATAGCAAACGATGTGAGAGCACCTAGCTTTACTACACACACAACAGTTCCTTTTATTCAACATCGTGCCACATCACTTGACCTCAGCTTCATATAGAAAATCTTGCACTTGGTTTGCGGGTGCTGGCGTGTGTTTGTTTTTACTGAAGTTTGGTTTGTGTTTACGCAGAGTTGTTTCACACGGAGAGGACACACGTGAGAAATCTAAAGGTACTGCTGCATGTCTTCTACAGACCGATGATGCGGGAGCAGATTGTCACACCAGACCTGCTAAAGCTTCTCTTCTCTAACCTTGAGGAGATGCTAGAGCTTCACGGTAAGTGACGTCACTATATCATCACGATTTTACTTTTTCTTCATTAGATTAATAATGGGTTTTCAATTTTTTTGATATTTCGCGGCAGATGCTAGCGGCACGTGGTTTTTTGTTTGTTTAAAAGTGTTGCATACATGTTCCAAGGTGATAATTTGGTCTGATTAACATTGTGTCAATGTGCATTAAATACATAACAGTTGGTGAAATCGATTAGGTATGTTATGTTAGGTATGAAATCGATTTGGCATGTTATTATTGTGTTCGTTTCTGTAAAATGCGACATTTAAGGCTCATTCTACTTCCTAGCACACACACACACACACACGCGCGCGCGCACGCACGCACGCACGCACGCACGCGACGCAACACACGACCCGCACGCAACGCAACACGACGCACGCGCAGCGCGGCGCGGCAACAACTTTGGCACACACACCAACACACACACAAACCAACAACACACACAGACAGACACACACACACACACATACAACACACACAACACACACACACACACACACACACACACACACAGACACACACAGACACACACAGACACACAGACACACAGACACACAGACACACAGACAACACCGCGACACACCGACACACCGACACACGACCAAGCACCGACACACCGACACACCGACACACCGACACACCGACACACCGACACACAACGACACACAGAACAACCGACACCCGACACACAGACACACAGACACAACAGACACACCGACACACCGACACACAGACACACAGACACACCGACACACAGACACACCGACACACCGCACGACACAGAACACACAAGAACACACAAACACACAGACACACAGACACACATACACACGAACACACACACACACACACACACACACACACCACACACACACACACACACACACCACACACAGCACGCACGACACACACACACACACACACACACACACACACACACACACACACACACACAACACACACACACACACATATCGAATATGTACCTCTTTTTTATGCTGTATTATCAGGTACCTTAAATACAGCATTGAAAAATAAGAAGAAGGATCGTTCGATTGTAAAGGACATTGGGGATATGATGCTATTATTCGTAAGTATTTATTTCTGTTAAGAGACAGGTGTGTACACCGGCGATTCGCGCATCATTGTAGAAGCAGCATAGCAAAGCCACTCTCTTAGAAGAATATTACTTAAGATATGTGTACAATTTGCTGGTTTTACTTGGTATTAACCGAAACAAACATGAATTTTGGTAGCCCACCCGTATTTATCTCGGTAACCATTAACTACCACCAATAATTGTTTTGCCTTGAAATAGTCATTAGGCCTACTCCTTATGTCTCTCACTGAGCTCTCGCCGTGCCATTCACTCGTCACCCGCTCCCAGCTAGCTGACGCCTAGCGACTAACAATATCCCCTCCATACGATGCTTCAAAAAACATCAGGTTTACGCCGGTTTTTTTTAACTATGCCTTTGACGTTTTTGATGTGTAAATCTACACGCTTCTTTAATAAAAAAAAGGTGTGACAGTTCTTGAGAAAATCTACACACGGCGAGACTGGTCAAGATGTTTTAATCACAGGGTGCACATTTGCATGGTTTGCGCCTTCGCGTAGGCGAACCCCCTCCCCCATTCACAGCAGTATATACGGCGATTAGAATAGACGTGCATAAATAAACGCGTTTTGCCTCCATCTAAAAGGTAGTGTCAAAGGATGTAAAAATATGACGTATTGAAAACGTTAGCATCGTGTAATCGTTTACTCCTCCTGCGCACAACGACCAACCTCCCTGTCATATCTTTCCAACTGTAACTAGCGACCATGAGTATTAGGCTCAATAAGTCCCCCACAGAACATAAGATAAAAGTAAAAAGAGGAGAGAGAGGCGAGGAGCAGAAAAGAGAGCAATAGATATGGGGGCGAGAAGAGAGAGTGGAGCGAGATAGGAAAGAAAGAGCGATGGAGAGAGAGTAAGAGCGAGAGAGAGAGAGCGAGAAAGTGAGATGGGAGAGATGGAAGGGGGTGGCATAGACATAAACTGGTCCCAAGTTCCATTAAATATAGCCAGAAAATTAATACTTAGGTGACCACATTAGAAGTAATACGAGCTAGCGGGAGTAACCTTGTAATTGCTTCTCTCGTATAGTTTGATTGGCGAGGCGCGAGAGAGATTCAAAAAGGCATGGCGCCACTTTCTGTGCCACGACCATGTGTCTGGCCTTGACGCACAGTCTCAAGTGCAAACACCTGGCATATGACCAAGAATTTCTCAATTCCTGGCGGGTAAGTTTGGAGTGAGGTTGTGGTATCGAAATGTAACATACTTGGTACGTTTTGCCGATGCTTTATTTGCAATTATTATATTATTTGCGATTATATATTCGTTAACATAATGTAGCTATGACAGTGCGATAGAAACCCA